TGGATACGGGGAAAAACTACTCGGGCAGAAATGGACTGGATGAGGTGGACTCGAAGGTAATTTCAGAATTTGGTTACGTAGGAACTGAAAAAGAGGCTCAGTCATCACTGTTGTATCGCCATCTGCTCTCCATCTCACACCATGGGTCGCTCTCTTTCACGTTCTTCCACACACATTGTGTCATCAGTGGACATGCCATGTAAGAAGCAGATGAAAGGCTGAATGGTGAATCAGGCAATCTGTCCACGATGACAGACTGTAACGCATCTCAGTCTATCAGTTTCAGAACTTGTCAACACCCGCTGGTATCCAGCTTTCCCCCCCCCCCCCCCATCATTGTATTTTCTCCATTTATTTTCTGTGGGGGATCAGGTAATGTGTGTTTGCCAAAACTACGTATCCAAATTGAAAAAAAAAACAAAAAAACATCAGGTATTCTTCACCTGGCACCATACCTTCCCAACAACTTTAACTTAATCATCTTTTTAAATTTATTCCACAATCGTACTCCCTGAATTACAACGCAGCTCCTTCAGACTAGTTCTAAATGGAGGTTTTACAAACGTTTCCATTCCCTTAAGGTTACAATGACTCTCTTTTTTTAACACATTTTAATTGAATATTTGGGGGTAATTTTTTTTATGAGCTTTATACACGATTTGTAAAATACTATATTCAACCAAATCATAAAATTGTAATAATTTCAACTGATGAAATAATATATTTGTTGGGTCATTTCCTACTAATAATTCTTATAGCTCTTTTTTTGTAAAATAAAAATAGGGGTTGTAATTATTTTGCATGCTTTTCCCCAAACTTCAATACAATAGATTAAATATGGAACAATCATTACATTATACAATATATACAAAGCTTTGTCATTCAAAACCTCTCTTACTTTATACAGTAATGCAATTGATTTACTATTTTTATTCTTAAGTAATTTACATGAGATTTCTATGTCAGCTTCTCATCAATAACGACACCCCAAATTTTTATTTTATTAACTCTATGAATTTCAATACTGTCAATTTTAAATGGGACTTCAATAATCATATTACTATTACTAAATATCATGTAGTTTTTTTTTCCCTCCAAATTTAAAGATAACTTAAGTTGGAACCAAGTTCAAAAGCCCTGACATATCAACTTGATCATTCACATAGAAAATAAACAACTTTGGTCCCAACACAGAGCCCTGAGGAACTCCACATTCATTAACACAAAATTCTGATCTTGCATCGTTTACCTGTACAAACTATCTCATATTATTCAAATAACTGGATATCCACTGTAGTGCTAATCCTCTAATGCCATATTTATTCAGTTTTTCAAGGAGACTGATGTTGTCAGTAGTGTTGAAGGCCTTTTATAAAACAACAAAAACACTTACACAATACTGTTTTTGATCCACAGCTGTTATCTTTTCTATTAGTTCCATGAGAGCCATTGATGTTAAATTATTTGCTCTAAACCCATATTGACTATTACTTAAAATATTCTGTTGATCCATGAATGATATACAGCGCTTTATGGAGGAATGCTACTGTGCCCTATAGACTGACCAAAATCTGAATCCACCAATCATTTAGTAGCTGTTCCTAAAGTTCCTTAAATCACATTTCAAGATCTTTATTTGCAGCTAGCTGCATTTTCAGCTGGACTTAATTTCAAGGATATTTTTTTAGGCCCTAAACAACAGTTTTAAGGCTGTCAATACGTAAACTTTAAACCACTCTCACTAATCGCGAGCAGATGTGAGAAAACCTATTCTGAGAAATACATCAAAGCAGGAAGCTCAATTAAGAATAGCATGCTATGAGTTTTGGTAGCAAAGACTAAACTTGCCAAAAATAATAAATAAAAAAAAACTGAACAATTCCCCTTAGATAACGATGGGTGAAATGACTAAGAAAACACATCTCTCCGTGGAGCAGACGTAGTTCACTGTAGAAACATCATTTAAAGTTCACTGGGTCACAAAAAGTGACCCAGTGAACTTGAACACTAAATAGGTACTTTAAAAAATCAGTACCAAATATCATATTTTCCGGCCTATAAGTCGCAACTGTCCAAAAATGTCTAATAATTTGAAAAAAATCCATAAATATGTCGCTTCGCCGTATACGTCGCATCTATTATGCGTCACCACTGACGCGTCGCATTTGTTACACGTCACCGCTGACAACCCGGAAACGTGGGCCGGTGTTGTGCCAAAAATCGATTGGCTGCCAAATGGCGGCCTTGGGAGCGTGCACAGGAGGACTTTAACAAGAATTTAACAAGATTAACACCTAGAAATAATTACTTGTTTGCTCGACTTTATAGTAAAGGTGTGTCTCAGTTGAAATTTTACTTAATAAATGCACTTCAATGGTCAAATCAGCTTCATTTCGCCGTGGCGGCACAGCGGAATGAAGCTGATTTGACAGTTGCTCCAGCTGGACGAAGGTGAAATTCTATGGCAAGCCGATTGTGTCATTAATAGCAACTTTTACTTATTACATGACACAACAGCATGCCATACTACTCGAATGCCATCTAGTGGCTGAAAATGGTAGTGTTCAATATTTGCAATGTCAAAATGAATGAAAACGATCATATCTCAGTCAAAAATTGGTTTATAAATATGGGGAAAAAATCCATACATAAGTCGCTTCGGCATAGAAGTCGCAGCGTATGCAAGTTCGGCAAAAAAGTGCGACTTAAAGACCGGAAAATACAGTAATTGTTTTCTTGTCAATCAACAGCAGTAGGACCAGTGGCTTTCATAGTAGTATACTGTATGCAGTAGTAGTAGGGTGGGCAGTTGATGAGTAGCCACTCACTTGAACCATCCAAATGCATCCACATTTTTGGATCCACAAATTAAAATAATAATAATAATAGTATATAAACAATCTATCATAATTTTTTCGTCTATGTATACTGAACTCAAAGATCTAAGACCTTTTTTATGTACGTATAAGGCCCTTTTCGCTGAAGTACTGTTCACAAATTTGTGTAGATCTGTGTTAGTGGGCACTTCTCCTTTGCTGAGATAATCCATCCAGCTCACATGTATGGCAAATCAAGATGCTGATTAGACAGCATGATTATTGCACAGGTGTGCCTTAGGCTGACCACAACAAAAGGCCACTGTAAAATGTGCAGTTTTATCACACAGTACAATATCACAGATGTTGCAAGTTAAAAGGGAGCATTCAATTGGCATGCTGACTGCAGGAATGTCCATGTTCGGAGAATTTGGAGTACTAGGAGACCCAGTGACCCTCATTTGGTGCAATTATCTCAATCTCGTCATTCAGCCTGCATCCTCTGTGATTTATCCAACACCTTCACTTCACCTTCATAATCATCTTTGTTTTCTTCCCTAGTTTTTCTGTGCAAATCTGGTTTGTCTTTGTTAATGTGCCATGTGCTACCGGTAGCATTGATACACACATGCTATGTGTCACTGCCAGTGTGCTCCTGTTACAGTATAAATAAATGTATTATTCTGTGAGAGCATAAATTCTGTTTTCTCAAAAATGATGTGTAGTGGAAATATATATAGATTTTTTAATAAATAATTACTATAACTCTTTTGTGTACAGTAGTCCCTCGTTCCGTACCCTGAAGACCCGCGATAAGTGAAAAACCGCGAAGTAGGAATAGTAGTACAAGTAGTAAGCAGTAGTTTATTTTATTATTTATATAGATATATATTAAAGCGTTTTAAACCCTTCCCACACTCTTGCAATATTATAAACAATGTTTCTAAACTCTAAACATTCTAAAAGAGCACAGAATGTCATGATTTCAGCTCCCTGCCTCCTCTGCTCTTTGCCACCGCAAGCGCTCTTGGCCACGCCCACAAAGTTTATCCTACAGCAGTAAGGGCTGCACAACGCTGCAGGAGGAAGCTTTTTCTGCTGCTCTGGGCTGTACAGAGGTGCAGCAGGTGCTAAATAATTCAAAATAATTTATTTTAAATAAAAATTTCGTGCCGATGTTGCGGCTCGTCCATCAATCAGTCAGTTATGTGTCATGTCCAATCTTATTTTGAAAAACCGCGATAGAACAAATCCGCAATAAACAAACCGCTAAGTAGCGAGGGACTACTGTATATTGTAACTAGAGAAATTGCATTTCCTGCAAAAGTGCAGTGGGAATGCTGAAAGACTTTGCCTAAATTTTCAAGAAAAATGCTAAAACTGTTAACTGTTAAAGTTAACGCAAGAAAGCAAAAGCTAAAAGTAGTCGTATGATGCTATAACCTAAATGAGCAGTAGCAAAAAAGAATAACGATTTAAAAAAAAAGAGCAGTGCTGTGGCTAAAAGATAAAAGTAGCAAAGGGCAAATGTTCTAGTAAAAGAAGAAAAAAAACTTGCTAAATTTAGCAAAGCATTAGCTAAAAGTAGCAAAAATCTAGCTAAAAGATTTAAGTATCAAAACACTATCCAAAACTAGTAAATTGTTAGTTAAAAGTAGCAAACGCTAAACAAAAGCTAAAAATAATTAGAAAAAGGAGTAGTGTTAGAACTTCTTAAATTAGCGTTGGTAGACAGCGTTAGCATTGTACAACTAGTATTAGCGACAGAAGATTAGCAGTAATAAAATTACCATTTGTTGTAGCAGAATTTTCATCAGTGTAATTGGTATTGGTAGAAGTCGAATTAGCATTAGCAGTATTCCCATTAGCAGTAGCAAAATTGGCGTTAGTAGTAGTAATATACTGTTTGTTTTTTTATATAAAGCTCTGATATTACCTTTATTGTGAATTAAAGCTATAAAGACAATAATTTACGGTGAATTAAATTGATTTGAATTGGATACACTGATGCAATTTTTTTATCTCAACATTGTTGATATGGTTTATTAAATTGGTTTAAGTCAGCTTTAAAGCATTCTAATATTTAGACTATTTACTTTAGTAAACTTAATGAAAACACTGACGGTGGACTAGATATCAAGCAAACAAGACTTGCCTTAGTACGTTTGTTTCTTTCTCTCCCAGATCTCCGTCAAAGAACATTTGAAACAGCTTACTGATGCTCACAGGGACTTTGGACTTCCGCATGGTGAGTAAAACCCACTCACACGTAGAGGAACAAAAAGTTAGTTTTCTGGTTTTCAGCGTCTGACAAGGATTTTGAAAACCGATAGTGATGGTTAATTTTGGAACTGGAAACCGTGCGTTTTTAATTGTGTCCATACGGTTTTTATTCAACAGTCTTTGAATTCATCAGTAATTGTTTGAGTTTTCTTTGAAGATATAGTCACTGTCTCATTTACCCAGTCCCGTCTAGATGCTCCACCTAGCGGCCACCTCTCCAAACACAGGACTAGCTTTCAGCAATTTGTGCTTCTCATCACGTTACTATTTTGTCCTTCACTCTAGGAACACGTGTCATACAACAACATATTATGTAAAGGCAGAGAATGCATCTTTACAAGTGCCCAGGAGAGTGACAGATCCACATTCACGTGGAGTACTAATCATCAGTCTACGCAAACACCATCCAGAAACTCCATCATCCTCTTTGAGCCAGAGTTAAAAATAAACTGAGGCAAAGTAGAAAACTGTTCCACGGTCAGATAAATCAGAATTCGAAATTCTTTTTGGAAACCATCGACGCCATACCTCCATACTAAAGAAGAGACGCACCAGCCGGCCTGTTATTAGCACACATTTCAAAAGCCTGCCTCTCTGATGGTAAGGGTTAGTGCATATGGCACAGGCAGCTTACACATTTAGAAAGCCCCATCAATGTAAAACGGGCTTTAAAACAAAGTATGCCCTCATTTAGTCAAAAATCTAGTAAAGAATACCCAAGACTGTTGAACGAGAATCATACGTCAAGACAAAAACAGGGAATGCTTCATGCCATGGGAAACATGACCATGTTCCAACTTTTTGCAGATGTATTGCCGTCATCAATACAATTCCTTAGTTTCAACATTTAATATGTTTACTGTGTTTCACTGTAAATAAAATGTAGGTATATAAGATTTGCAGATCCTTGCATTGAGTTTTTATTTACATTATACACAACGTTCCATCTTTCTCAGATTTGGGGTGGTACACGCAAAATGTAGATTGTCTAAAACGTAGCACTCAAAAGCTATTTTACTACTTTTCTGTTGTGGCAGTTATTAAAACGCAGTTGAATAGAACATGAAAGAAGATAGGAGCAGTGATCACCTGTAACGACCTATTCATCCGGTTCGCTGTACTCCCTCCCAGATGTTTGGTACAAATACTTTCACTGTTACGCCCCAGTTCTTTGTTTCCGTTTCTCAAGTGGCGGGAGAAAGCGGTTTACTATTGTTGTCTTAGTGTTTTTTGTGACACTCTTTGTCTCTTGTGTTGTTTTTCAGCATCTGTAGAAAGCCCATTTAAGCAGGGCATCTCTCCAAACAATGTGCCCTATTACATCAAGTAAGTACCGATCGCTGATTGTTGGACTGACAGGTTTTGGACTTTTTGGAAACACTTGTCTATAAACATAAACTAGTTGCAAAGAGTGAGTTTGGTGTTCTTTTTATGTTTTTTGATTGGTACAAAAAGACTAGCAGTAGCTTCAAACCAGTGTTTTCTGTACTATGCTTCTCAGCCCCAAACTATCTAGAAAAAAGAAACAGAGAAATTGCTGTTCACTGTAATTTTCAACTTATTAAAGAAGAGGGGATTGAGTATTTTGATGATGGAAGCTTTCAGCATTGGAGTGGTCCACGTTCTGAGATCAGTTAGTGGAAGTAGAATGTCTAATGCAAAATTAGCAATGACAGTGGTTAGGAATTTATCTTGACTAAGGTCATAGCATGATTACGTTTATTTATTTATTTTAGGGATTATAACATTTTTTATCTCTAGATATGTTATTTTTATCTTAGATGCCATCCAATTATAAAAAAAGCTCAAGGTTACTTCCCACTTAAACTAGCACCCCATCATCAAGAAGGCCTACATTCAATCCCCCATGTGCACCACATAAAATACCCTTTGGATGTACCTCCCTCAGTTACTTTCAACAAATTTCATTAAAATCTGTCCAGTGATGCAAAAGCTATGTTGTTAACAAATATTTACACCCAATTAACTTTTTGGGTCAGCCTGATTCAAGATGGCTTCCACAGCTCATTGACCTTAGCCAACACTAAAATGGGTATAACTCAGTTTTACAGATGTTGAGCTAAAATTTTGTGCGGTAGTAGCTGAGAGTCATTCACAACACGTACTTATTGTGTGACGTGATATTCCATGATTGGGCTAAAATGTTTTCAAGGTGGAACCAAAATGGCTACAACTTCATCTTTCCCCAACATAGGATGAGTCTATTACTTTGGTATGAAAAGCATTGGACCATCATTGTTCATTTGAGGAATTCTGTATGGGGCATTATGAGGTGATGCTTGCATTTTCACCATGTACTTGGTCCATGACACTACCATGCTTGGTACACTGTTGACTCCTTCAATCATACTTATTTTCATTGTGACCCAATATAGTTAAAACCACATATTTACATACTGTATACAAAGACAGATTTTTGTCCTACCGTCTGACATTAAATCAGACTAAACCTTCTTTTAGGTCAGAAAGGATTTTCAAAATGTATTTCTATTTCTCAAATTTCCATATAATGAAAGAATTGTTTTCTTGTTGTCACAAATTCACTTCTTAGTGTTTGGTAGCATTGCTGTTAAACTGTGAAATGTGTCAAAGATTTTTGGCTTCTTTCCGCAATCTTCTCACCGCAGTTTGCAATTATTTTGTCTCATTCCTCCTGACGATCTGAGGATCAGCAAGGTGAAAACAAAGGTGCTCAGAATAAACACCACAAACAAAGTACCTGTTATAATCGAATGGCAACGATTGTAAGATGTAAATGAGTTTACGTATCTTGGAGCAATTGTGAACAATCTTGGAGGTACTGACAAAGTTGTCCTAACAAGGAGAGGGGAAGATGAGAGCAACATTTCTTAGACTGAAGAACATCTGGACATCTAAAGAACTCTCAATGAGAACTAAGCTTCATGTATTTGCATCTAATATGCAATTGGTCCTGCTGTACGGTGCAGAAACATGGAGATCAACCAAGAAGATAGCACAAAATCCAGGTCTTTGTGAACTACTGTCTAAGAACTTTGGGAATCTGCTGGAAGGATAGCGTTAGAAAGGAGGATTGATGGGAGCTTACAGGGGGAAAACTTTTAGCAAGTCAAATAGTGAGAAGAAAATGGAGATGGACTGGACATACACTGCAGAAGCCTACCAATAAAATCGCATGGCAGACTCTTTTCTGGAATCCAAGAGGTAAAAACACTTTGGTGGCCGATGCTCCGCAGGGGGACATGAGCCTAACCTCTTGAAAGAATTGGTGAAATGGAGTCAGGTTTGTAGACCACCTTGCTCTCACACACTTTTACCCTATTTATTCTAGTGGCAGGTGTTTAAGACTTGCACACGAATGCTTTAAAGGAATCCCTGACATTTATACACGATTGTCCTCTGTCATCATTTATAAATAATTATTTGGTAGCGATGTCAGTGTAACAAGTCCAGGGCAGACCTTCCAGATCTTTGTATCCTCACTGCATGTATAGAGAATCTCACAGATGGCAGTGCAAGGCTGTAAACTGCTAGTAGTTTCTCTTTTGTTAAAGCCTACAACACTATTTCCCAAGTCAAAGAGACCCTGACCACCAGCAGCCCCCTCTCTCTTCTCCGCTCAAGAAAAAGTAGCTTCTTAACCTCTCTTATTCCTGTCTTGCTTTTCTCTTCCTTTATGTTCTCTCTTTCAACCCCCATGGCCTTGACAGGGAAAATATGTCACCTTTTTTTACTTTCTCTGTCCCTACTTGTCTCTCTCTCTTGTCAGAGAGGAAGAACCCCCCCTCAGAAGATGTCACGGTTTTGCTCCCTGAAATGCCAAGAAAGGGGGGGGAAGGGAGTTAAGAGAGTTTTATCTCTGCCTTGTATAGCTGAAACAAATCAGAGTTTCTGAGTTGCAGGCAGGATTAAACAGGAAGTAGGACAAGTGCTTTTCCAAAGTAAAGGTACCAAACATAGCCAGTGAGATTTGTTTTATTTGTCAAAGCAAATGAACCCCTTTTGCTACCCTTGGGTCAGAATTATACATTAGACCTCAAGGGTCATTTTGATCTAAGGGCAGTGGGAGTGTTAAGCAACCAATTGCCTGTGGGGCCAATTTAACCATGTGAATTCTAGTGTTGTAGTACTCGAGACTGGTCTTGGTCTTGAGACCAGTCTCAAGACCACTTTTTGATGGTCTCGGTCTTGTCTCGGACTCAATCACATTTGGTCTCGGTCTTGGACATTGAGGACTCTGGATTTTAGTCAGTCAAGACCACAACTGTGGAAATATCACTAAACTGCCAGAATATTGTCCAGTTTATTTGTCAACATCTTTGTTTTTATTGGATGAAAAACGTACTAGTTCAAATCCAAGTGATATCATGACTCAATGCTAAATACATGTTTTTGTTACTGCTGTCATGCCCTCCCCTTTTCAACTTAACTTTTTTAGGTGTATATCTACTTTTATAAAAATATTTTATCTTTTTTTTTTTTATTATTATTTGAGGTCTTGACTTGGTCTTGCCCTCCCTCGGTCTCAGACACTAAAAGTCTTGGTCTTGTCTCGGTACACTCTGGTCTTGGTCTTGAC